ATTTCAATAATAGTAATATACTTTCAGGAAATAATTATTGGGGTAAACCTTAAACTTGTTACAGCATGTTGTTGCCATGGATCAAGGGAACATTTTACAAAAAAAAAACGGTTAAATTATGACTGTTCGTTCAAAACTATTGCTACTTTCCTTAAAAGTCCTTAATCATGAAATTTCAGGATTTTCCTTCAATATGCAAATTTCGAACCAAAATATCTCAAAAAGTAAGACATGAAGGTATATTTTTCTTTGCATATTTCAAAAGTACACATTCAAATTGACCTTCTATCAAAATTTCAAGACAAAATCAACGAGGGATCTCTACTGTATCGTATGCCCTTAAAGAGTTAAAAAATACATAAATAAAACCGACGTCAAGAGTTAAAGAATACATAAATAGAACCGACGTAAAGAGTTAAAGATAACATAAATAAAACTGACGTAAAGAGTTAAAGATTACATAAATAAAACCGACGTCAAGAGTTAAAGATTACATTAATAAAACCGACGTAAAGAGTTAAAGAATACATTAATAAAACCGACGTAAAGAGTTAAAGATTACATAAATAAAACCGACGTAAAGAGTTAAAGATTTCAAAAGTACACATTCAAATTGACCTTCTATCAAAATGTCAAGACAAAATCAACGAGGGATCTCTACTGTATCGTATGCCCTTAAAAAGTTAAAAAATACATAAATAAAACCGACGTCAAGAGTTAAAGAATAAATAAATAGAACCGACGTAAAGAGTTAAAGAATACATAAATAAAACCGACGTAAAGAGTTAAAGATTACATAAATAAAACCGACGTCAAGAGTTAAAGATTACATTAATAAAACCGACGTAAAGAGTTAAAGAATACATAAATAAAACCGACGTAAAGAGTTAAAGATTACATTAATAAAACCGACGTAAAGAGTTAAAGATTACATAAATAAAACCGACGTAAAGAGTTAAAGATTACATTAATAAAACCGACGTAAAGAGTTAAAGAATACATAAATAAAACCGACGTAAAGAGTTAAAGATTACATTAATAAAACCGACGTAAAGAGTTAAAGATTACATAAATAAAACCGACGTAAAGAGTTAAAGATTACATTAATAAAACCGACGTAAAGAGTTCAAGATTACATAGATAAAACCGACGCAAAGAGCTAAAGATTACATAAATAAAACCAACGTACAGAGTAAAGAATACATAAATAAAACCGACGTCTAAAGATTACAAAAGTAATACCGACGTAAAGAGTTAAAGATTACATAGATAAAACCGACGCAAAGAGCTAAAGATTACATAAATAAAACCGACGTACAGAGTTAAAGAATACATAAATAAAACCGACGTCTAATGATTACAAAAGTAATACCGACGTAAAGAGTTTAAGATTACATAGATAAAACCGACGTACAGAGTTAAAGAATACATATAAATAAAACCGACGTCTAAAGATTACAAAAGTAATACCGACGTAAAGAGTTAAAGAATACATAAATAAAACCGACGTCTAAAGATTACAAAAGTAATACCGACGTAAAGAGTTAAAAATTACAAAGAAAAAACCGACGTAAAGAGTTAAAGAATGCATAAATGGAAACCCATCCCCAATCCAGACAGTCTTTCATTATTCTATCGCATAAAAATGATCAGATAACAAATTCACAACATCAAATGAAAACAGCAGAATTTGCAGCACTCTTGCATATACAATTAAAAACCTAGAAGTATAACAACATTACAGTATTGATCTTGGTATTATTTATCAATTTAGACATTAAAGGCAGAGTTAAATAACTTACTAATTGTAGAATTAGTTGTTAAAAATTAAGATAAATGGGTCGTTTATTTTTTGTATTTTATCATTTACATTATTATCATTTTATAATATTTTATTACTTTATTGCCATGAGGCATGGTCTAATAACTCTAAGTTGTTAAAATAGCTATTAAACGCTGCAAATCTAACCGGTTTCACTTTTTATTGTAGGAAAACTTTTATAGTGTCTGTTATTCGGAACAAAAGTGTTGTCAGTTTTCAGTTAAAATACATCACAAACGATGAAAAGTTTTAATAAAATGTTAATAAGAAAGTGTTTGCTTTCTTAAAAATCAAAAGTAAATTTGCTTAGAATCCGCTTTTAGAAATATCATAGTAATATCAATATAACCCTTTGATTTGAATATAACATAGAATATGTACATAAATAAAAATAAAATTAACATGAATAGAAGCTACACAAAATTTGTATACATCCCTCTCCACTGAGTATTTATATAGATATTGCAAATCCAATGGACATAAAAAAAATCATTCTGATTTAAACGTAAAATGATACTTGCATACTGGCATTATGTATTAAAAAAAATACTTTGTGAAGTTTCATTGAACTTTAGTCAGCGGTTTAAGGAGGAGTTGCGGCTACATAATGCCTATCTCTTTCCGTAGATATGACAAAGTCCTTGAATTAATAGAAATGTGGGGTAAACATCAATGATGATACAGAAACAAAACGATACAAAAACCTAAAAGACATGTTGATGTTCTACTATGGGAAACCTAAGATATCCTTTGGATATTTTGCATGATGCCATAGGGTTATTGAGATTATCTAGATATAAGAAGATGTGGTATGAGTGCCAATGAGACAACTCTCCATCCAAGTCAAAATTTATAAAAGTAAACTACATGGTTCATTGAAACCAAGCTATTGATTTCGGATGAATAGTGGATACAATGCGCAGACGTATGAACGTAAGGACGGAAGATGGAATGAAAAAAACCTTTACAAAAACTTTTTGTTTCAACTTCAATATGTGCCATGACAAGTCCAGTGTTGTGTGTCTTCAAGAATTTATATGTGCACGTGATAGAGAGAAAATTTCCCCTCTTAGAGTGTTACTTATGAGACCCTTTGGTATCTTTCGCCTCTCTCTTATAATTGCACGACCATTCTTTACTGTCATTGTACGAAGTGCATCACAAAAGATTATACAAACTATTTTTATATTACATCATATTACATTATTACATTATATTACATTATATTACATTATATTACATTATATTACATTATATTGCATTATATGACATTATATATGACATTATATAACCACATGAACTTGTCATCTCTTTTAAAAGGAATAATAATATGTTAAACACCATCAAAGTCAATTTATTCATATGATAATCATATGATAATCATCCCTATGTATGTTATTTCTCACCATAGTTCAGTTAATATAAAAATGAGATGAAGTTGTATGATTGCCAATGAGACAACTATTCACCAGCTATTAGAAATGAACCTTCTTTTATTGACCGACATGAATTCAATGTCGAGCTCTTACTCTTAGATTAGAGAAAACCCGTTGCACCATTTGAAGTTCTTGTATCTTATGACATCGCACCGTTTAGAGAAATACAGGTCATTAAACACAGGGTATTATAATCAATTTTTATAATGTAATCATAATTCTATCCGAAGAGTTAAATTTTGTTCACCATATAAATTTATGTATAAACGTTTTTTGGCTGTATGAAACTAAGAACTATGTGACAATCCGATGTGTGACCTTCACAGAAATCCTGTCATTTAAGAGGCAGTGGTATTCTGGAACAAGTTATTGTTTCATAATTGATTGTCTAACGTCCATTGGCAAATATATCATGCATTTTCAGGACGGAGACAAATTAACAGTAAACATACAATAGGTAGTGTATGCAGAGATCGATGGGATACCGGGATCAAGGAAAGGAATTTAAACTTGTAAATAAGGATCTGTTGGATATCGTAGAGATGGTTTGTAACAGGTCACATACGGACGCATCACAGAGTTGTTGCACGGGTTCATGAACGTTCAAAAAGCGTGCGTGACACTCTCACTCATTACACGATGCATCAGATTTAACGTCCCCATTCCTACATGCTGTGTGTGATGCGTATGCATATGTACATCCCACACGGACACGCCTCTTTCGGAGATTCTTATATCGATTTCTATAACCCGGGTTTCACTCGGTATGGCGTTACATCTTCTGATTATATGAATTCTGTGAAAAAAAATTATTGACGTGCTATGCATGGTAAAATGAAAGACACAAACTTTGTTTTAGCAGCATTGAGTTTGAAAAAGAATATTGATTGAAAGTTTCTGTGGAAGTTATGGCCCATGGAAATAATTATTATGAGAAAAATAAGTGCTCATATGCCTACACTACAAAATGTAGATGACCATAAAGATCCTTTTTCTCTGAGAAGAGTAAATAAGCGTTATCATGTACCTTGATTCAGCTTTGAGAATTATTTTAACAAGCATCTCATTCTGCATCAATCAGCGGACGTCTGCAGGGACCAAGGGAGGAAACTAATAGGCCGTACCTAGACGACCAGACGAGGCGGAAGGAAAAATGTAATCTGAGGGAAAATACGGCAAGAGACGACTGGTCGGACAGGTAAAGAAAATGAGACACACAACACTATGCGGCGGGACATTATTAAAACGCTGTTCTTTTATTCAATATAGTTTTCTTTAGGTTCAAATATAAACTAGATCAACGTTTGCAAATGGGTTCGTTCTTCTTTTGGCGTTTTTTTTTTTTTTTTTTTTTTTTTGGACTATCAAATGTTAATTTCCGAGAAACAGCATCATTATGATGAGTTTTCCTTAGTTTTGATAGAAAACAGTCATATAGTACTGATTTAAATATACTAGGATCCATGATTCTTTTTGAACTACCCAAAAATTTAATCATGTTGAAGACGAAGTTAGTATATGTGACTTTTGAGTGAAAAACTTCTACAAAGAGGAAATGTCTTTTTGTATGAATTATTGGGGGATGACAATACATGAAGACAACGAAGACATACATGTAATTTTTTTGCGAACTATTTCAACAAAAAGGTTAGGGTATAACAATAAAGTTTCAGTTATTACTGTAAATAAGCATAATGATTAATCAAACAATCTTATCAATTTATTACCAAATAAAAACTTACCATTTCTTTCGTTATATTTTTAAACGCTTGTTCAACATTTCCGTTGAATCCACCCCTTTTTATTGTAACAGGTTTTTCCACTGAAAAAAAGAAAAATATATTAATACTGTTTTGATATTCATTCATGTATTTTACTAATCTTTCAACTAAAAGATTTTATAATATTTACGAATGGAAGAAGAATGAGAAGCCCGCAGGTGTAACTAAACTGTACTTGGTTAATCTTTTCAATTATATACCTATATGGAGTTATTTTCTTTCAGAACGATAGGTCATTCTTTCGAAGAATCAACCCGGACAATACCATGTTTCAATGAAATATGCTCCAAGGCATAAAATAATGACCTGTGTGAGGTCATTATTTTCCTTGATAAAAATGCAAACTATAATTTACTTCAAAATTATATTCGTCTGATAGTTTCTGTTGCCGATTTGGGAATTTATTTTTTAAAGTTCAATCTATGATAGGTGTAAAAAAAATCGTCATTGCCCGAATTTTAATTTTAGAAACAAATAATGTGAAGTTTTGTTAATTTATCGCTACAATACAGAGACATCATCATATATGCGAGATGAATTTTAATGTAAAACTTTCATAACACTTTAAAATAAAGCCAGATTTAACATATTCGTGTGTAAGATTTTGAAAATCTTATTGATTCACACTGAATAGGTTTATTGATTGATGGTTACTTAACGTTAAATATTTCATGCATGTTCAGGACGATACACACTGAATAGGAAATCATACTGTGATCTACATGTATTGATATTCGTTTTCGTGTAACATGTACATGCATCACGATTTCGTGCCCCCTTCGTGTCAGTTCTTAACTTTTATGTATACCTTTTACTCTATCAAATAATTATCTGATAAAATATTCTTATACTCTATTGAATAACCATGATTCACGTACCTCACAATGAGGTCGGGTGGGGGGGGGGGGGTATATAATTATATCCTGATTATCTGTTGAAAAAAATGTATTGCTATTCAAAAGAAAATCATTCTGAATATTTCATTCGATTCAATGAAAATTGTTGAAAAAATAATCACTTTTCCGCGATAAAATGTCATTACAAATAGACAAAAAAAAACATAGCACCTCCTCCTTTCCATAAACTAAGTTGGTACAATTAAATTACTTACAAAGTGTCTTGTATTTTTCATACACCGTTATCAGATGGTAACAATTCATTTGTGTCTTACTTCATGCAGTTACAGTAATATTTTTATTGTGTATGGATAATAATTTTTAAGGTTTATATCTAGATTAATTAGTGAGTTTTATTTCACATTCTAAATGAGCCGTAGCGCGTATTAAAACCTGAACGCATTAGAAAGGAATATCCCACTTTAGTGTGGTCGGTAAAATAGGATGCTAAATTTTGCAAATCTTTATAAAAAAACAATATTTTTTGACGGTATATAAGTCAGATAATGCGTATTTATAAGGTTGTTCTTGTGGTAGAACACACATCGGGGTGTCAGGATTGCCCAAAGAAAGACCTCCCCTCGGGGTGTCAGGATTGCCCAGACCTCCCTACGGTCGGTCTTTCATTTGATCAATCCTGACACCCCTCGGTGTGTTCTACGACAAGAAAAACCTTAAAATATGCATTATCTATAACTTGATGCTCATAATTATAAAGTGTTGATCATTTCTCTAATTCAACCCTAACTGACAAAGAACGATGCAATTATCTATGTATTTCTTCAAGAAGGTTATATAGATTACAAGAAAAAAATCAACGCTAGAACTTTTTCTATATGCATTTGTATTAGCAAGAACATTGTCTACGGTTTTTTGCTACCGATAATTCTATGATTTCACAAAACTGTTCTCGCATTAAATGGGTGAAAATATCTCTTTCCGTTTGAAACTTAGTTATTTTTTCTAAAAGTATTGAAAAATGAAATTTTGTGTTTTTACATGAAACATGCAAATTTTAAACTGAAATATCTTAAAAGGAAGTCATGATGGTATATTTCTCTTTGTCTATTTTAAAAGTGCATATATGTAATGTCAAAATTGACTTTGTGTCAAAACTTGAAGGGAAAAAATCAATGAGATATCTTGTCTGTATCGGATACCTTTAACATATTCTCGTTCTGATATGCTTCTAATGATTGTCACTAGACGTTAATCACTATCCCACCATCATCATACTGCTTCTAATGATTGTCACTAGACGTTAATCACTATCCCACCATCATCATACTAATTATTATGGTTTTTTTTCTCTTAATTATGACTATTACATTTATGGGGATTGGAATGAAATGTAAAAGTCGTTTTAATGATAATAATAATTATAATGTTTGTAAATTGTAAACGTTCCATTTGGGTGAATACCGGATGACAGATTCGGTTTCTGAGAGTGTCTGGATTTATATTGTTATTTTTGAAGGCCTGTATGGTATTTGCCCGGGATACAACAAATAGGAATAAATGCAATTATGAAAGCAAATACATTTAGCTGTCAAACAATTATATCATAGATGTATATCAACAACAATGAAATAGAAAACAAATTATCAAATAATATGTCTATGCATTTTGATATCAATTTGCAAGTTCACAAGTATAATCAAAGTACTGAAGTACTGAACATCGGATGACCGCAGGTTCTTGTGGATGGTCAAAAGCACATGTCACAGAAACAGATCAAATCTCTATACCTGAAACTGAGGTTAATTTACAGAGATTTTTTTTTCTTATACAAGTTCGTGCTTGGATGATGAATAAATGACAGGAAATTCAACCTCACCGTAATAACTATTATATTGTAGTGATACAAATCAGTATACCTTAGACTATTATACTAATATAATAATAGTTCCAGAGAATACACTGGTTTGTTGTTATATATTATATTAATATTACGGTTGCATGTATATATAATTTTCATCTATATGTATATCATACTATTCTACTATTATTATAGTGTAATGCAAGTGCATGGTGGACACTCTTCTGTAAAAAAAAAATCAAAGTCTTAAAGGCTGTAAAAGCAATTGCTGCCATGTTAATGTTTTGTGCATGGACTTTTATTTTTCATCCATATATATAAGAATTAAACCTGACAGGACAGGAGTGTTGACTAGTGAGAAGCAAGACGGTTTTAACTTTATATCAATATAAGACTTTAGCAGGAAATCATTTTAAATATGTTTTATATTTTACAAGGAGACAACAAGTTTACCAGGCTAAAGTTGGGGTTAATTATACATGTGCTGAAACATATAACTGAAAAAAAAATCATTATGGATTATCCCCTGGTAGTGTTTGTAACTGGGCAATAATTTCCTTTATTGATTTAATTTTAACCATTTTCATAATTAATTTAAATTAACCATTCAGTTAAAACATTTCAACTTTCCAGACGCAAATGTTGAAAAACGGGACAGAAATAAAATATCTTACAAGACATAAACATGTAAAAAATAAATATATATTTCAGCTTACTAAAAATATTTTCATAATGTTACTTTGACATCATTCCTTAAAACTAAGTCCCAAACATAATTGCTCAGTTGACATGTGTCATCCTCATGCGATACGAGATAACTATAATTCTGATGCAATCCCGAAAAGGGGGGTCATCACAAACAAACATGACATTAAATTGTCATTATACGAACTAGAACAAACAGCTCTATGTTGCTTTGATATTTATCAATTTTCAGGAAACATGTGAAATAAATTTCAGGTCCATTTCATTATAGTGCCTAACAAGATTGCGTGAGGTAGACGAAATTGACCTTAAAACGATCGTATTGTCTTTTGATGTCCAAAAATAGGCAGATCGGACATATAAGGACTTTATCTAATGACTACATAAATTTGGAATTTATTATTATTATAATATTCTAATGAAACTGAAAATTGTATTTTTTTTTAGGATAAACAACAATTTTACCTGGCGTAGCCGTTCATAAATGTTTTTCTGCATTTATCTTCGAAAAATGGCGTATTTAATGGAATAGAACGTTAATACAGTAAACTTTCTCTATTTTCTCCGCAATAGGCTATCAAAAATAATTTATCTAATGTGTATAAGGAAAATAATGTGAAAAGATAAAAAAGTGGCAATTGTTACCTTTCATACCTTAAGTTTCGGTCATCTGATTCTGACCAATGCTCATATACAAAATATCTATTTATATGCCGCTATTATTGTTGTTGTTACCAATTATGTAAATCAATTGTATCTGATTTTATGCCCTTTATGGGCCCTGTAATTTGGGAAATAAAAAAAAAATCTATTCATTGATAAAACGTAATATGGACTGGTCCAGTGTCCAGTTTGCAGGTCATTTAATTTTCTGTACACATTCATGCACGCTCTGATTTAATCAATATACTCGTACGAAAAAGCATGAACAGTTTGAAGGTAATCTAATAATAACTTAATCCAATCAAATTGCATAAGATTCAATAACAATGTCAAGTCCACATCATAATGAGTAATAGAGGTAAACTGGGTAGGGAAAAAATGACAGATATTTCAAGTTAATATTTATGCAATAACGAATTAAAATTTTTCAACCAAAAGTTTTGCTACAATTTCAAAAACATGTCGTTCTGTATGGGTATAGTTTTCGGATCTTTCATTAGCGTATTTAAGGCTATAAAAAGTTTGGGCTTCAAAAGTTCACACAATTATTGACTTTATACAGAAAATTCGTCCTTGTAAAACATTTAATAGTTCACAAATGATACGCGATTTTAAAGTAAAATTATTTCTTAAAACACTGCAAAAAATTTCATTCATATTGATAAAGTGGTATCGTCATAAAGTGCGTTGAAATGAACAGTGGTATAGCAAACATCGAATTCCCTCACAAAATGTTATCACACACTACAGTAAGGGGACTCAGTTAAGTTTGTCTATTTTTAGATACTATACAGGTAATCTTTTGACACTACGTATACAACCTGTGTGACCTGTGTAGTGATTTTGATTTTACGATAAATTCATGAATGAACGATAATTTTATGAATGAACATGAGCACCTGACCTCTTTCTTAAACACCTATTAAACATATAAAACCGTATTTAATAAGGAGATAAT